ATGTTGGACACACACACGCTCCAGTCAAATGTTGGACACACACACGCTCCAGTCAAATGTTGGACACACACACGCTCCAGTCAAATGTTGGACACACACACGCTCCAGTCAAATGTTGGACACACACACGCTCCAGTCAAATGTTGGACACACACACGCTCCAGTCAAATGTTGGACACACACACGCTTCAGTCAAATGTTGACACACACACGCTCCAGTCAAATGTTGGACACACACACGCTCAGTCAAATGTTGGACACACACACGCTTCAGTCAAATGTTGGACACACACACGCTCCAGTCAAATGTCTGACACACACACGCTCCAGTCAAATGTTGGACACACACACGCTCCAGTCAAATGTTGGACACACACCGCTCCAGTCAAATGTTGGACACACACACGCTCCAGTCAAATGTTGGACACACACACGCTCCAGTCAAATGTTGGACACACACACGCTCCAGTCAAATGTTGGACACACACACGCTTCAGTCAAATGTTGGACACACACACGCTCCAGTCAAATGTTGGACACACACACGCTCCAGTCAAATGTTGGACACACACACGCTCCAGTCAAATGTTGGACACACACACGCTCCAGTCAAATGTTGGACACACACACGCTCCAGTCAAATGTTGGACACACACACGCTCCAGTCAAATGTTGGACACACACACGCTCCAGTCAAATGTCTGACACACACACGCTCCAGTCAAATGTTGGACACACACACGCTCAGTCAAATGTTGGACACACACACGCTTCAGTCAAATGTTGGACACACACGCTCCAGTCAAATGTCTGACAAACACACGCTCCAGTCAAATGTCTGACACACACACGCTCCAGTCAAATGTTGGACACACACACGCTCCAGTCAAATATTCGACACACACACGCTCCAGTCAAATGTTGGACACACACACGCTCCAGTCAAATGTTAGACACACACACGCTCCAGTCAAATGTTCGACACACACACGCTCCAGTCAAATGTTGGACACACACACGCTTCAGTCAATTGTTGGAAACACACACGCTCCAGTCAAATGTTGGACACACACACGCTCCAGTCAAATGTTGGACACACACACGCTCCAGTCAAATGTTGGACACACACACGCTCCAGTCAAATGTTGGACACACACACGCTCCAGTCAAATGTTGGACACACACTACGCTCCAGTCAAATGTTGGACACACACACGCTTCAGTCAAATGTTGGACACACACACGCTCCAGTCAAATGTTGGACACACACACGCTTCAGTCAAATGTTGGACACACACACGCTCCAGTCAAATGTTGGACACACACACGCTTCAGTCAAATGTTGGACACACACACGCTTCAGTCAAATGTTGGACACACACACGCTTCAGTCAAATGTTGGACACACACACGCTTCAGTCAAATGTCTGACACACACACGCTCCAGTCAAATTTTGGACACACACACGCTTCAGTCAAATGTCGGACACACACACGCTCCAGTCAAATGTCTGACACATACACGCTCCAGTCAAATGTTGGACACTCACACGCTCCAGTCAAATGTTGGACACACACACGCTCCAGTCAAATGTTGGACACACACACGCTCCAGTCAAATGTTGGACACACACACGCTTCAGTCAAATGTTGGACACACACACGCTTCAGTCAAATGTTGGACACACACACGCTCCAGTCAAATGTCTGACACACACACGCTCCAGTCAAATGTTGGACACACACACGCTTCAGTCAAATGTCGGACACACACACGCTCCAGTCAAATGTCTGACACACACACGCTCCAGTCAAATGTTGGACACTCACACGCTCCAGTCAAATATTCGACACACACACGCTCCAGTCAAATGTTGGACACACACACGCTCCAGTCAAATGTTGGACACTCACACGCTCCAGTCAAATGTTGGACACACACACGCTCCAGTCAAATGTTGGACACACACACGCTCCAGTCAAATGTTGGACACACACACGCTTCAGTCAAATGTTGGACACACACACGCTCCAGTCAAATGTTGGACACACACACGCTCCAGTCAAATGTCTGACACACACACGCTCCAGTCAAATGTTGGACACACACACGCTTCAGTCAAATGTCGGACACACACACGCTCCAGTCAAATGTCTGACACACACACGCTCCAGTCAAATGTTGGACACACACACGCTCCAGTCAAATGTTGGACACACACACGCTCCAGTCAAATGTTGGACACACACACGCTCCAGTCAAATGTTGGACACACACACGCTTCAGTCAAATGTTGGACACACACACGCTTCAGTCAAATGTTGGACACACACACGCTTCAGTCAAATGTCTGACACACACACGCTCCAGTCAAATTTTGGACACACACACGCTTCAGTCAAATGTCGGACACACACACGCTCCAGTCAAATGTCTGACACACACACGCTCCAGTCAAATGTTGGACACTCACACGCTCCAGTCAAATATTCGACACACACACGCTCCAGTCAAATGTTGGACACACACACGCTCCAGTCAAATGTTGGACACACACACGCTCCAGTCAAATATTGGACACACACACGCTCCAGTCAAATGTTGGACACACACACGCTCCAGTCAAATGTTGGACACACACACGCTCCAGTCAAATGTTGGACACACACACGCTCCAGTCAAATGTTGGACACACACACGCTCCAGTCAAATGTCTGACACACACACGCTCCAGTCAAATGTCTGACACACACACGCTCCAGTCAAATGTTGGACACACACACGCTCCAGTCAAATGTCTGACACACACACGCTCCAGTCAAATGTTGGACACACACACGCTCCAGTCAAATGTCTGACACACACACGCTCCAGTCAAATGTGTGGATACTCACACCGCTCCAGTCAAATGTTCGACACACACACGCTCCAGTCAAATGTTGGACACACACACGCTCCAGTCAAATGTTGGACACACACACGCTCCAGTCAAATATTTGACACACACACGCTCCAGTCAAATGTTGGACACACACACGCTTCAGTCAATTGTTGGACACACACACGCTCCAGTCAAATGTTGGACACACACACGCTCCAGTCAAATGTTGGACACACACACGCTCCAGTCAAATGTTGGACACACACACGCTCCAGTCAAATGTTGGACACACACACGCTCCAGTCAAATGTTGGACACACACACGCTCCAGTCAAATGTTGGACACACACACGCTTCAGTCAAATGTTTGACACACACACGCTCCAGTCAAATGTTGGACACACACACGCTCCTCAGTCAAATGTTGGACACACACACGCTCCAGTCAAATGTTGGACACACACACGCTTCAGTCAATTGTTGGACACACACACGCTCCAGTCAAATGTTGGACACACACACGCTTCAGTCAAATGTCGGACACACACACGCTCCAGTCAAATGTCTGACACACACACGCTCCAGTCAAATGTTGGACACACACACGCTTCAGTCAAATGTCGGACACAGACACGCTCCAGTCAAATGTCTGACACACACACGCTCCAGTCAAATGTTGGACACACACACGCTTCAGTCAAATGTTGGACACACACACGCTCCAGTCAAATGTTGGACACACACGCTTCAGTCAATTGTTGGACACAACACGCTCCAGTCAAATGTTGGACACACACGCTCCAGTCAAATGTTGGACACACACACCCATCCATCCATCCATTTTCTTCCGCTTTATCCGTTGCCGGGTCGCGGGGGCAGCAGTCTAAGCAGAGATGCCCAGACTTCCCTATCCACACACACTTCCTCCAGCTCGTCCGGGGGGACCCCAAGGCGTTCCCAGGCCAGCTGAGAGACATAGTCTCTCCAGCGTGTCCTGGGTCTTCCCCGGGGCCTCCTCCCGGTGGGACGTGCCCGGAACACCTCCCCAGGAAGGCGTCCAGGAGGCATCCTGAACAGATGCCCGAGCCACCTCAACTGGTTCCTCTCGACGTGGAGAAGCAGCGGCTCTACTCCGAGCTCCTCCCGTGTGACTGAGCTCCTCACCCTATCTCTAAGGGAGCGCCCAGCCACTCTGCGGAGGAAGCTCATTTCGACCGCTTGTATCCGCGATCTCGTTTTTTCGGTCATTACCCACAGCTCATGACCATAGGTGAGGGAGGGAACGAAGATTGACCGGTAAATCGAGAGCTTTGCCTTTCGGCTCAGCTCCCTCTTTACCACAACGGTCCGATACAGAGACCGCATCACTGCGTACGCTGCACCGATCCGCCTGTCAATCTCACGCTCCATCCTCCCCTCACTCGTGAACAAGACCCCGAGATACTTGAACTCCTCCACTTGAGGAAGGACCTCTCCACCCACCTGAAGAGGGCAAGGCACCTTTTTCCGGTCGAGCACCATGGCCTCGGATTTGGAGGTGCTGATTCTCATCCCAGCCGCTTCACACTCGGCTGCAAACCGTCCCAGTGCATGTTGCAGGTCCTGGTTCGTTGGAGCCAGCAGGACGACATCATCCGCAAAAAGTAGAGATGAAATCCTGTGGTTCCCGAACCGGACCCCCTCCGGCCCCTGGCTGCGCCTAGAGATTCTGTCCATAAATACAGTGAACAGAACCGGTGACAAAGGGCAGCCTTGGCGGAGGCCAACATGCACCGGGAACAGGTCTGACTTACTGCCGGCAATGCGGACACAGCTCTGGCTCCGGTCATACAGGGGCCGAACAGCCCTCAGCAGAGGACCCCCGACCCCGTACTCCCGGAGGACCCCCCAAAGGACACACACACGCTCCAGTTAAATGTTGGACACACACACGCTCCAGTCAAATCTTGGACACACACACGCTCCAGTCAAATGTCTGACACACACACGCTGCTCCAGTCAAATGTTGGACACACACTCCGCGTGTTTGCAGGACGTTGTCAAGCCAAGCCAGTCCTAACAACTTCCAGAGACTTTAGAAGTCAGGACGGATCTCACCACTCCCGGCGCCTTGCCACCATGGAGGCTGCCATCCACCTTGGTGACCTCGGCCAGGGAGATGGAAGTATCCGCCCCCAAAAGTGGGGGGGGTGGGGATTTGGGGGGGGGGGGGGGTTGGGGGGGTGGGGGGGGGGGGGGGGGGGGGGGGGGGGGGGGGGGGTGGGTGGGGGGGGTTTTAAAGGGGGGGGGGGGGGGGGGGGGGGGGGGGGGGTGGGGGAATATAATATATATTTGGGGGGGGGGGGGGGGGGGGGGGGGGGGGGGTGGGGGGGGGGGGGGGGTGGGGGGGGGGGGTGGGGGGGTAATATTGGGGGGGGGGGGGGGGGGGGGGGGGGGGGGGGGGGGGGGGGGGGCTCCGAGCCTCTGCCTCCCGGGACGGGAACGTGACGGGGGATGAGGAGATCCTCGAAAGTATCCCTTCCACCGCCCGACCAATAGCCCCTGTCAGGTCAGAAGCCCCTCCACCCGCCCATAACGGTGGTTGGCAAAGAACTGCTTCCCCCTCCTGAGCGCCGGACGGTTTTGCCAGAACCTCTTCGAGGCCGACCGATAGTCCATGCTCCCATGGACTCTCCGAACTCCTCCCAGTTCCCGGGTTTGCCTCGCAACAGCCCGGAGCCGCGGCACGTTTGGCCGCCGGTACAGGACAGCTGCCTCAGGAGTCCCTCAACCATCATGCTTCGATAGGTGACTCCTTCTTCAGCTTGACGGCATCCCTTACTGCCCGGTGTCCACCACCGGTTCGTGGATTGGCCGGCCGGGACCAAGCACCAGAGACCTGCGACACAGCTACGAGCCGCCGCATTGTGCGATAGAGTAAGTAATTAAGTAAGTCATCTTTTATTTATAAACCGAAGTCAATTTACATTCCCTTTGACTGACGTATCCCGGAGTACCCGGAGGAAACCTACGCAGACACGGGGAGAACATGCAAACTCCACCAGAAGAGGCCCTTCCGACCGGGATTCGAACCCAGATTCTTCTGAGAGGTGATAGTGCTATCCACTCAGCCACCGTGCCGCCATAGAGAGATAACATGGTCCACTCGGACTCAAAGTCCTCCCTCCTCTGCCGGGACTGGAAGAAGCTTCTCCCCGGGAGGTGTGAGGTTGAAAGTCAGTCTGACAGGGGGCTGAAGTCCAATAATTCCCTTATGACTGACCTATCCAAAGTCGATGCAAGAGCGAGACAAGAGATCTTCACGGTTAACATCTGCATTTTAATTATTCTTTACAATCAGATATCAGAATGTTCAACAAAAGTGCTGCCTATTCTTAGGCCTGCTCTTCCCCTGTACCGTGCCCTGGTCCTGTCTGACCTCAAAAAACACACGACAGGGGCTCATGAGGGAGACTTCCGATACGTCATCCTTATGCGTCCAAGGGGTGGAGTTTCCGGGTGTGCTGACGTCCCTTGTCCACTGGGAGGCGTCAGATGGTGAATCTCCCATGCAAGATTGGTTCTGAATGAAAATGTTTATTATTTTAAAGTTAATAATTCCCCTGTTCAAACAGCATCTTTATGACCATGCATTATCCTGTGTCCTTGGGGTTTATCCTGAGTGCACAGAGGTCTTTCTAGCTATGATGTTCAAAATGGACAATATTAAAAATACAACGTTCCCCTCGGTTGACCTAATTAACCTAATTTATTCACAATCTTTTCAATATTCCTTCTGGTGCCGAGACTGGGAAGCTCGTCTCTTCCATCGGGCCTGGTTCTTGGTTCAGTCTCGTTTACTGTGAAAGAGTAAATACAGAAAAGAATAACACACACAACAACAATTCGAAACATTCTTACAAAACTCCTTTGATGACCACTGCTGTCATTCTCATGGCTCGGTGCCATTTTGTGGGGCTTTGCTCATTTTTCCCAAACACATTTGTTGACCCTAGAAGTGCTGTCACTTCCTTCTCTCAGACCGTTTGGGAATAAATGTACATTGTTAATCAAATTGGTATTATCCGTCACAGGAGCTAATCTATTTTAGTCAGGTTTCTCTGGGTTAGTCCCTATACAACGGTATTTGTTGATTCTCTAATCAGTTGCTGACAAATTGACAGCTCTTAAATCTCAAAAAATACCTAATAATCTACTTTGTGCTATACCGCGATGTGGTTCGCATTGCGGCAATTTGATTTTTCATTGGCTGGTTCTTGTTCTGCAAATCACTATTTTATGTGTTGTATTTCAGACCATTCCAAAAACAACACAGTAGTTCTCCAATATTAAAGACATATATCTAATCAAGTTGCCTGAAAGGGAGCGGGAAGAAGAGAACTATTTTAAAAACGTTCTCTACGATTATATGGCTATAGAATTAATTATTTAATAAACAAAAGCACATTCATGGCTTCTGTCCGCTGCTTATAACTGTTTAAAGAGTTGTCCCAAACCTAATATGTGTGAATACATCAGCTGTTTGTAATAAACAATAACATTTAACCTGTTCTCCAATGGAGCAGCTCAGAGGCTGCGTCAAAAGCAATGTTATATTTGGGCTATTTTTTAGATTAAAAATTTGTTAACGCCTGTCGTTCTATGTCTGTATTTTAATACTACTCTCTATAAACACATCTGCACTAGATCCTACAGATGTGGAAAACAGAAGCATCTAAAATCTGACTCTATTTGATTCCTTTTTTACTTTAATTATTAGAACAATTTGACCTTATTGATACTTATTTTCACAATAGAACTATTTTGATTATTCACTAGTCTAACTATTATTACTATTGTTTATTCTGACACCTCTTCTTAGCGACCTTTTAACCTATAGCTCCTTGAGTCCAATGACATTATAGCTCCAGACTATTTCATTCTATTCTATCATTATTATTATATGATCTATTATCTTAAAGGGTAGATCTGTTTGATGTTATAAGCGCTATTATTTCTCCTTTTGAATTTGCACCACACTAAATTTAGAATGACCCCCTATGGGACAAATAAAGAATTTTATTTTATTTTGGCAACTCCGAAAATTATTTAATAATTTTCCCATTTTGCTTTTAGGCTGCCCTTTCTATTATTTATTTGTTCTTGTAAATATATGTTTTACACTTCTTTCTAATGATTTAGAAGGTTAAGGACCATGACCACCTATGACAATAACATTACAATACTCCCTCTCTTGGTCGTGGGCCAAGTGTAAAACATGCGTCTGTGTGTGTGTAGATTACTGTTCCAATCATCTCCAGTTGTTCCTCCCGGATCGTCCTCAATTCGTATTGTGGGCTTTGGTGCCAAAGTAGAGGCTCATTTCCTTTATGATCCGTACTACTGTGTTATCCCTGAAACAGGGGTAGTTTATCTTTTATCTGAAAAAGAAACATTAGAACACAAGAAATGCCCACTTCCCTGGCATGGTGCAGCCTGTCAATCTTTTTCCAATTTGGGCAAAACATAACGACATTGACAGACGGTCGTGTGACATCAGGGCAGAGGCTGTAGCCAAATACAGACTTAACAATATGTATGTTTCTAATTTTATACTCCACTAAATGTGAGTTACAAACCAAAGTTGTCCTCCACCCAATGACCGCTCACTGCGGTTGGACCGAATCACTGTCAGGGCAAACAGCAGAGGGAGGGACTCCCAGTACCTTTAGCAAGGTATTAATCTCAGAGTACTTTCCGCAGAGTACTTTCTCAGAGTACTCATCCCAGAGTACTCTCACTTTTACACCTGTTCAATAAAGCTTGTTATCTTTGAATCTCTAGTACTTACACCGTATGCTGTTGACAAAAATAATTATTCCATGATCACATTAAAACATTACAGAAAAACATTTGTTATTTCATGATTCCGTTCAGCACTCCTCGTTCACTCCTCATTTCACAACACACTCACAACACACTCACAACACACTCACAACACACCGACTCCCCACGTTAGTATATTGGTCCAGAGTTTGTTAAGGTCAACGTAGTGTACTTGACATGACGCACAAACATATAACATACACAAACATATAGACAACACAGGAGGCCTGTAATTTTAACTTTGTTATATTTTTCCATGTCCAATTACAATTGTCTCATGAGCTATTTTATTGTTGCAACTTTCAGAGCCTGCAGAATATGCAGAGCTTTAAGAGATTTTTCCTTCAAGGATCCATTTCCAACTTTAGTGTTTAAACCACGTGGTCTTTGCTCGGGCTTCCCACAGACTGTGTCCCCTATATTTTTAATGAGCTCTTGTTGTTACTTAAAAAAACTCGTGCACGCGCCAAAAATGTTTTTCCTTTTTTTCTGTAAAGCCAGTTCGGATTCATTAAAAATGTAAATTAGTTTCAAACTTTAATACTTCACCTTTGTTTCACGTTCATGTGGAGAAAAGACTATTTATTCTACGTGTGTTGACGTACTTGCACCAATCATGTCTCAGATGAACTGCCAACAGTTATATCAAAGACATAATTGTCCCCATTGTTTCTAATTTAGCTATTTGGAAGAGAAACATGTCATAAAAGATGTGTTATCAGAAATGATCCAATATCACCTTTAGCCAAAATTTAGAAATGCTTTAAATCATTTTTCAAACTTTAATTGTTTGAACAAACCATTTTGTATTAAATGCAACGTCCATTAAAAGCTGCAGTTCTCTTTCTAGCACCAGTTTCAACTGTGCATGTGATTGTTTTTAAATGATTAACGAGCCACGGTTCAGGGGTTAAAAAATTGCCTTAAATATCCGTATTACCAAGATCATGCAGTCAAAATCAATAATTCTAAACTTCTCCGCGACTATAACTTTAAATAACAATAATAGTTTTAATAATAAAGCTCCTCTAATCATGCACAAATATACTGCTGTTCTAATCTCCTTGTGTCTCATGCTAAAGTAAGAGTCTAATAATTTTGACAATTGTCTTGTAATCATTCATGCAGTTAAATGTAGTGTTTTGAACGTATGACCTAAATGTGTAAATATGACCTAAATGTCCTTAATGTCTTGGTGCGCTTGTTGCCTGTCTGTATACAATACCTTCTGTCTGTTTCATTTTGCCCAGCCACGTCTTCCTCAAACGTCCGTTAATGTCTCTTTCTTTTACTCATGGCGTCTTTCAATGTCTTTTGTCTCAAAGTGTCCAATGTCTTTTTTCTTCTTCTTTCAACAATCACTTTCTTTCTTCTTCTTCTTTCAATCAATCACTTTCTTTTTCTTTTCCGATAACTTTTTCTCATAATGTCTTTCTTCTTCTTTTCAATCTTTCTCTTCTCCTTGCAATGTCTTTTTCTTTCATGTCTTCTTTGTCTCATTTTTGACGCACACAAATGGTGTTGTCGTGCTCTTCTGCTCGGTTCACACCGTTCCTCTTTGTGCACATAACTCCACTCGGTTTGTGCAAAAGTCCGGTTCCTCTCCATGGAATGGAGGCCGGAGAAGTCTTCTTCGAGAGTTCCTGTTAGCTGCTGCAGCCGATGCTGCTGTCTTTGCTGCCCCCTGTGGGTCGGGGAAGACGCTGATGATCCCTTTTAGTAGACGCTCAGTTGAGGCTTGTGACGGGTTTTGGCCAATGAAACAGACAGAAGTTTTCCTCAGAAAAAAACAGACAAACAAGAAGCACAAACAAGTGTGTTAATTACCATACAAAACCAATGATTAATTACAAACCTAAATAAACCTATGAAATAATTAATATTAACATTTTAAACATTAGATTCTGAAAACCGAATTCTGCATTCAACTGATATCCTAAGCCCTATTTTTTCCAAAAGTATAGTGCTCTCTAAGATCATTCTAACTTTTATATCACCAAAATGTAGTGAAAAAATGTTTAATAACTTGTCCAGACGCCTTGGAGATAAAAATAAAATAATGCCTCTTTATAATCTAACTCAAAGTTCTGTGATCATATGACTCCATGTCAGTAACATTATCGTGTGTATAAATGTAATTTTCTACAAAAAAATATTTGGTAATAGTTCTGCCTTCACGAGAGAGAGAGAGAGAGAGAAGACAGAAAGAGGAAGGGGAGGGGGCTGAGTGGCCTCTCGAACAAAGGAAAACATGGACGATTGAAATACACCCCCTTTTGCTACATTTTCCTCGTTTTTATCGTGACAAGGTCTTAATCAGTGGTAAAAGTTTTTCTCACGTCAAACGACACTTTACATTTATTTAAATACGTCAGTAATGAAAACATTACCATTTGTCTACCTGATTAATGTATCAAGAGTTCCAGCAGAATCTTTTTTTTTTTTTTTTTTGATTCTCTGTAACTATTAAACATTACATCAGAATAAGAGAAAAACTCCCAGAACTGATCTTTTGTCATTTCTTCACATGAAACTCGTATACTACAGCCAAGTGGCTCCTTTTTTTTCCTCATTAATCAGATCATTATTATTCTATATACAGAATCCACATTTTAAATACTTGGCTTTTTTCTGTTTAAATGTACCCTTTTTCCCGCCCCCCGGGGGATATGGAAGGTTTTTATTATCCTGTTCTGACCCTAAAGCTGTCCCTATTCTAATTCTATTCCTATTTTCACTATGCTTGTGCCTCTCTGCACTTTAAGAAGGTGTGCCTCTTTTGCACTCTAAACTCTGTGGACTTCCCTTGTCTGTTCTTTTTTTTTAGAGAGAGACAAAATCTCTCAAGGTTTAAAAACGTCGAAAAACCTGACTATTGTCCTATTGCGTCCGATAGAACGCCCGTCACGGCGGTCTGTCCACGCTGCAGTCGTGTCGAGCCGAAATCTCTCTCTCTTCTATTTAAAACAATGTGCAGATTTTCAAAAAACGATCTGCTTACCTTTTTAGAAGCGACTTTTTCAAAGAGCAGAGAGAATTTCCCAGGCCCACACAGACCCAGCCTATATCTGAGCTCATCTCGCGTCTTCTTTCTGTATCAAATCACGTCGGGGTCACCATTTGTTGGTCAAAAAAGATTTGACTGACGTGTTCAAAGTTTGGTACAGAAATCAGACGAAGATATCCAAGTTTAACATCTGTATTTAATTTATCTTGACAATCACATACAGAACATTCAAACAAAAGAGCTCCTATACTATGCTATTCTGTCTATGTCCCTCGCTGGGCTGTGCTGACTCTCAGCCCCCGCCTCAAGCCAGAGCATATAAAAAGAACAGGAAGGAGGGGCGTGTCCTATCAGCCAGTTCATAGACTTCGGACTTGGTCTGGTCTGGTCTTGGTCTGGTCTGGTCTTTTCCTCCGTCTGCCAGACTCATGATGGAGTGAGGTGAAAAGTGCAGAAGTCAGGGCTAGGGGTGAAATCCAAACAGCAGAAACCATCTGTTGTTTAGTTGATGGCACAAGAAGACACCTAAAATAAAATAAGAAGGACTGGCCTCCCACCCAGAGGTCGTTAAGTCATAAAACACATGGTTTTAGTGTGTCACGTATTTATAAATACAACAAGAGAGACCCCATGGTATTGGACCATAGAGAGACACCATATGGTAATGGTCCATAGGGAGAGACTACAAGGTATTG